ATGGACGAATCGTCTGTACCCGCTACCAACCCTTCTGATCCTAACGACCTCGCTAGTCTCTTCTCCTCCCCGCCTGCGCAGGCACAATCATCGTTCCAGTCGACAATGGGAAGCATCAACCTTGGCGCATCATCGATGCCATACGCACCAGCACCGATGCAGTCTAATGGAAATGGGTTTGGTGGACCCATGCGACCCAGCATGTCCCCACCGCAACAGTCTGGGACGCCACCTGCTGCGATTATGTTACCCGGAACACCTAGGAATGCGGGTAGCCCCGCGCCCAATTACTTTGGTGCACAGAACAATACTGCAAAGGGACCAGTACACATGCCTGCAGCGGGTATGGCTATGCGAATGGGCGGGCAGATGAGCATGATGACGCCACAGGCTACTTCATCATCGTCTTCGTCTCCTCAACCACCACAGCCATCCAACACGACAAATACAAGTAACCAGCAAGGGAAGGATCCATTCGCTGACCTTGCAGGGCTGTTCTGAGAGGAGAAAAGTACATGATAGTGGATTCAGAGCATAGTGTGGGGTACGATGTATATTATCCTTTCGTTGATGTCTACATAGGAGAATTATATTATTTATTCATGGCTTCACTATATTCGTATCTTCGACAACGATGCACATACTTTTAGGATGCCCTGGGAGATTACCTGTTTCGTGAAGAAGTAGCAAAACACTGTGAGTCAGGCTGCGGCTGGGATGAGGCGTGGGTGGTATCATGTGTGCTCAGTCACCCACAACTGACAGGGCAATATAAACGCTTGAAATGAAATCGCCCGCATCAAATTACGTATTCTGCCGCAACAGCTTTCAGTCTTTTCTTGGAAATCCTGAACTTCGTATGTAGCGTCTATCAACTTTGTATGGAACATAATGCCTTGAAATTTGGCAAATTCGAAGGACAGAAGTATGGGGGATGCGATCCGACCGCCGGCCACATCTGTAACTTATCTCACGTGATCAATCCATGACCCGTCGCGATTTAATTCCGGATTTGGCTTTTTCCTTTGTCTTTGTAGCTTGAGCCACTGAGCCACTGATCGACCAGCATGTCTTTGAAATTGCGACGGGTCGAACACTTACTATACAAGGCTATTTAAAAAAATATGGGTGGCACCAATCCGCACGAATTTCTTTATTCTCTCAAATCACGCTTCAAGGCCCATACTTTTCCTTCCACAGGCAAGTGTTGCCACTCCTGCTCGACGACGTCCCATAACGGGTAGAAAAAACATGAGTGAAAACCAATCCAACCTTCTATCCTCCAACCATCCCTCCGCCTGCAGAACTTCCTTAAATGCGGGCTATCTTTAACTCATGGCGCCCATCTTCAGACGCCCCGTCTCTGAGTCCAAGTCACCTCTACTCCCGAGCCCCGCCCTCTGCACTACAAATCAGCTTATACTCACGCTTATTGTAACATGGCGCCTTTTACCGTGAGTAGCATGTACGCATTGGATGCTTTTGTTTTCTAACATAGTCTTTCCTTTTTCAGAACAAAGCTAAGGCCATCGCAGCCAAAGTCCAATGTACTTTGTGCGCTATCACCCTCAGTCGCAAAAGCGACATGCGCCGTCACATGCTCATCCATAAGTCCAGCGACAAAGAGTCAGTACTATCTTACTAACGGTTTTAATCCCTGTATTAAAATGTTACTGTTTCTTTAGCTTGTACAAATGCGACTACGCAGGCTGCAGCTACGCGGCTCTTCAGAAGAAGAACTTGGAAACTCATACGTTGACTCAGTAAGTTTCCAATCTTACTCAGTAAATTCAGATTAGACTAACCGCCTCGTTATAATAGTACCGGCGAGAAGCCTTATGCCTGCCCTAGCTGCTCATTTGCAACCGCCGATCCCGGCTCTCTCACTAGGCACAGGAAGACCAAGCACAACTATGTACCCACAGGCAAATCTTCCTGCAAGGTGGCCGCCACGAAGAAGTCATCGCGCCACGAGCCATACTCGCGCAGCCGCAGCAGCTCCCAATCCACGGACTCCTCCTGGTCGACATCTTCACCATCTTCATCTTACTCCTTCCCCACTCCTCCAGCCACTTCTGATCCTAGTATCTTCGAGCTCTCAGACATCCGTCTTGAAGAAGAATCAATTGGTACCTGCGCATGGAATTGGGCAGAGGAGATCCAGAAGATTCAGAATGCTTGCTTCTTCCCTTTCTCATCCGAACCTGATTTTCTCTCCGAAGACTCCTTCAAGCAGCTTTTCCCCGCTGTAGAAACTGTCCAGAATTTGCAAGGATTCGAAAGGGAAAAACCATTGATAGAGATGTTTTCTTCCGCCATCCCTACATCCATGGACTTCAATGGGTCGTTCATCTTAGATAACGCCATTGCGCATGTCTCGCCGAGTACCACCACTGTTGATGTGCTCAACCTTGTCACATCTGCTTCGCAGTGTCAGCCTACGTTCTTCCCCGTTAAAGAGGAGCAACAGACTCCTTTCTACCTCCCCTCCCCCTCACTCATTCCCCGGGCTCCCGTCTTCGACTACGAACAGCTCGATCTTAATGACTTCAGCGCAGCTTCTCTTAGTTCGTCCCCGTTTGACTTCAACGACTTCGGTACTACACCGTCACCTGAGCCCTCCGCGCTTTTTGACTTTAATACCACCTACGACACGACAGTGTCGTTCGACAGCCTCGATTCTAGTCTCCTTTACGGATATTAGATTGCTTCATTGTATTTTCTCTCTTATCTACATTTTCACCTCATCATACCATCTCATTCACATATTTCTCCATATCTCTTCAGTTGGTTCTTTGTGCCATCATATTCTTATTCTTTAACTTATCCTTAGAACACTTCTTCGCACTATTTCATTGTAGATATAGACTATATCTCATTTACTTGTACTTTAGCATTTAGCATTGGCATCAGAGTAGTGTAATTTTTGAGTACAGTAAACCAAGAATGGTATTTCTTGGTTTCATCTGTTTTCTATCTCTGTGATTCAAGTGCTGAAGCACGAATGCAAACTGAACAATTGCAAGAAGCCCCTGTGTTGCCGGACCGCTACTTCCGTTCGCTCTCTCCGTTCCGTAGCGTGGGATGTTTGCTATGACAAGAACCGTATGCTAATGACTATCGTCTTCGTGCCTCCCAGTTATCACGAGCTTCTTACTCACTGGATCTATCAATTCGAAGGGAAAACCGCTATTTGATATCCATGTATTCTAAGGCAATTACCAATGCCTGAAATTTTGCATACAATCTTCGACCGCAGCAATACTCTCAACTCAACCAGGTGGCCCATTTGCTGGTCTTTCCATTGATGACCTTCGATATTTCCTTGGCCACAACTCGGTCTGCCTGCTCACTAGGATGCAACTCGTCGAACCTATCGAATGCTCGCGTTAGCAAAAAAGTTCTCATTTGAATTTTCGCGTCACGTACCAGAGGAAGCTGTCCCTGTCAGTGCCTTGGGCTATCGTGCATCTACCACCAGCGCTTGTAGACTCGTTCAAGTCGAAGACGCAGGCTTGAACCGCGCCCGTGGTGTTCAATGGGGCGGTGCCGTTGAGATACACGGCTGGACGCGCAAACATATCTGCGAAGAGTGCATGCGAATCGAAGAGGGCTGCATAACGTTTTGAGGTTAGATAATGCTACTTTCGAAGCTTGATCGCTCACCGATGTGTGCGCCGTGTAGAGTGGGTGCTAAAGCTTGCAGCATAAGCTTCGTTAGCGCATTTCCTGACAGGACAAGCTCCTTCATGAGCACGCTCCATTCGGTATCATTCCTCTGTGCAGTCCAGAAGCGGTTGGGATATGAAACTGGTGCGTACAGTGGAACGGTCTCAAGAGGAATCATCTGTAACAATGTCGTCAATGGCCTACACCGATTGGAAAGACGATAGAGTTACGTTCTGAAAAATGAAATTCCTTGCTCCGGTCTCATACAAGAACGTCACCCAATTCACCATACACTCTGTAACATTTACGAGGGAAGCTTTATCGCTTCCGGTCAAGAGAGCATTTGACCCAACATCGTTCGTTCCAATCCACAGCGAGTAAATCGTCTCCTGAGCCCCCAGCTTCAAAGATCCGTTGTTCTTTTCGGAGACATAGAGCGGGAGCTGGCTCTCGAAAACTGGTGGGAATGGTCTGAAGGTGATGTTGTTCGAACACGTAGCTCCGGAGCGGGCGAACGGGAATAGGTTGACATGTGCGTATCCTGCAGCGTAGATCGGCCAAGCGGTGCCCCCATTAGACGACATAACATCGGTATAGCTGTCGCCGAACGTGACAAAATTTTTAATCTGGCCTGGACGGACTCCAGCCGCCTGAGCGACGGGAGAAAGCACCAGTAGAGCACAGGAGGCAAGGACAGAAAGAGGGCTCATTATGGATCGTCGACAATTTTATGTCTATGCCTACCCTGCCTTTTCATACCTTCCCCGTAACTATATTTGGCCCAGGTCGGCAGTTTTTAGTCATTCGCAGATTCTTTCCGCGCGCTTCTTCCCGCTTGGACGCGATCAGAGAAGTTTCGCCGCTATAGTTAGCGCATGGAGTGCGATGAGCCGTATCACAAGGCCAGCCTTCGTCCGCAGCGTGCTGGCTATCGTGGAATCATTTCTGCAATTTTTGATAGAGGACGCGTTCTAGGAACAGAAACACGCGTCAATGAGGCGGAAATAAAGTTAGGGACTTTGCTGTTTCTTCCGACGTACCTCCGACTAGGAAACAACTTCTCATGCTATTGCAGCAGCTGAGGTTTCTCGTGAAGTATTACCTCGTCAAGCCCCACTAACTTACGTTGATTCTAGTTCCTTACTGGTTATTTTTAGTACCCCGCGCCGGCTTGCAGTTGTATCATTCTGTCAAGTAGAAAGACATCAAATTTAAATTCCTATTCAAATAGCGGGAAAGATGGTTCAAACCTGGGATTCTTTGCTTCTAATTGTCTATGGGGAGCATATACTTTGTACTGCGTATTTTCTTAATGTGTAAAAAAAATTAAGCTCTCTGTCTGGGAGTCGAACCCAGCTTTCGCGCGCACGATGTACTGATGTATGGCGTGACAGGCGCGTGTACTAACCGATATACTAACAGAGACTATAAATATCATTCAAACATTAGCTGTGTATATTGGTGCTCACAGAGATGAACTGTACGAGTACTACAGAAATACATAGGCAGATTTAGCATATGCAAAGGCTGCATCTGTGTGTCTCTTGAGATCCGTAGCTTCCCTTGTAAGATCTGCCTACGAATTAGCCCTCTGGTCAGAACGGTACAACCCTCATAGATTTATTATATCTCAAAAGCCTTTACAGGAGCCATGGCTACCAAAGCAACCTCGAATGGGGTCATATTCACACAAAGTTACAACGTCTTGCTTCACTAATGTTGCTACATTTCCTATAGTTACAGCCTGAAACATAGCTCTCTTGTTCGCAATTTCGTATAACACGTTTATCAGAATGGGCTGAGGGGCTTCTGCAGCGGAGAGGATATAGGCGCCGTCTCGTTCTGAGACAGAACTAAGGGTCTGCAATGCAGGAGACATAGACTAGCTTATTGATGCCATCCATAGTTTGGGGAACTCACCTTGGTAGCCTGGCCCGTGGCGTGTCCTAGGTTCGCAAGATTGGAATGGATAGACTGGAGACATTGAAATTAGTTGGTTCGGAGGGATTCCTACAGCAAATACAGGTGCTTACTAGCGTAATTATCAACGTTGAGGTTGCGTTGCTGGTGAATTTATAATGGAATGAAGTAGCATCGATCTCCGGTGTGGACTTTACATAGCATCATCAACTGTGGCCTCTCCCGACTTTGGCTGCAAGGGACATAAACCTAAGCAGCTGACTTGTAGATGTTCGTTGAGATAGCTAGCTTTTGGATGTTACAGAGAAGTCGGATTTGTGCTTGCATCGCCACCCGATCGCTGATGTGATATTGTTTCGTAACTTGTATCTCAAGGCGATAAACAGCCAAACGGTTATTATATTGATTTCGTCTATAGATTCGATGAACATTTAATAAACCAGTAAGAAGACCGCCCACATTAAAGTACGTACCTGTCTCTAGAAATTGATTTGACAGCATACAATCCTCAGAATGTATTGCATATGCCTCAAAATACTTGCATTGTCCTTTATAATGGGGCGCGGAAGCAGGTGGTGCGGTTCAGGGACAAAACCGCCCGTGACATGCACTGACCTTTTTTGGGTGACGCCGCTCTTTCCTGTTCTCATCGACGTGTTAGACGCTGACTAGCGACCTCGAGATTTTTCCCGCCAACGTCAAGGTCTCTACCACTATCATCACATGCATGTTGTGTAAGGAAGGACCAAACTTGGCAGCGATACGTAAACCTTAGGAACCTGCTGCCCGACACGAAGCCAGCCGCATTTTCAATCTTTCATCGCTGCGTTTGGCTGAAGAGTGGCTACAATCGGGCGGCAAAGTACAGAAAACAAAGCGACAAAGGGACGCTGTGATATAAAAGCTTAGCATTCCCCAATTTCTGGTCATCCAACCGAACTTTCTGTCCTTCTAACTTCAACACGTACCCCACCTGCTACTCTCTGCTTTTATTCTCATTCAAAATCATGGACTTCGACACCTCCATGGAAGACGAATACGATATCTTAGGCTTAGACTCGCAATCTTCACAAGCCGACCAGGTGATATGGCACAGTACGCAGACTACCCACACATACCTTGACACGCTCATCAAAGATTCCGTCGTACCTATTCGTCGATGTACGATACCTTCTCTTTAACGTTTACTTTCCAACTGACTTCCTATGAGAAGCCCCTCGTCTGTCCAACCATCCGCCTACCTACTCCGAATCATCGTTTGCATCACCGAGCGTTTCAACAAAGCTTTCCAAAATCGCATCCAGTTCCAGCTCGTCGTCGATGTCTTCCACTTCCAAACTCTCGTCGAGATCCAAGCCCAGATCCAAGCCCACCTCCCGTGCTCGATTACGACGCTCCGAACCGCCCCCAGCAGCTGCAGACTTGTCTTTTCACATTCTATCCTCCATTCCATTCGTATCTGCACAGATAAATGCTGGTCTGGACCAAGCGAAGAATAAGAAGCAGCGAGGGATGAGTGTGGGTGTACAAGATCATCCGAGGACGGCGCTTGGTGTGATGCAGACCACTTCTGTGTTTCCGCCTACTCGCGTCAATGGAAAGGGGAAGGGGAAGGAAAGGGATATCGGAAATATTAGTGCGCATCGGAGTCTCTCTAACCTGACCTTGAAATCCCATTTCCTACGGCGTTCCAACTCTCATCTTTCGACGACAGACGAGGAAGGGGCCACTGATAATGATGTGATGGATGGAGGGATGGATGTCGACAAGAGTTTTAACGCGATGGAAGTGGATCAGCCGTCTTCTTCAAAGACAACGCGTCGCATGTCGATGCCACCACCGCCTGCTCCGGTTCAACTTGATCTATCTCGTCAACAACTGCAGCGGAATCTCTCTCACCCTTCCCCATTCTCATGTATGGATAACAATCGTGTATTAGAATGTACTCAGCCCGTATACCAACCACCACCACCCCCGCCACCAGAATCTATTCCCGCCCCTCGCACTCCTCCACGCCAAAAATCACCCTCTCTAAAACCCGCCTCTCGGACGTCAATACCCGTAGACACTCCGTACTTCCCATCTATGAGCCAACATTCCTCTCGGCCACCACCCCTCGGTATGCGCCGCACGCATACATTCCCTTCCAGCACACCTTCTACGTCCACCAGTAATACGCGTCTCCCAACGCGTCAACGTGGATTCAAACCACCACTAATGACCCAGGTAGAAAAACAGAGGAAGGAAGCGAAGAGGCTGAAGGAGATCCAGCAGGCGTTGCAGAGTGATGGCGGTGACGGGGCGAAAGTGACGGAGGAGTCGACGGTAGCCGTGAAAATGGAGAAAGTCAAGGAGGAGCCAGGGTACCCCAAGGATGCGCCTCTACCGAGTGGTTCACCACCTTCACTAAGGAGGGAGCAGAGCACCAGGACTTCTGAAGCCGGTGCCTCTGGAAATGGTTCCAATATACCCGGTGGTCACTGGAGTACGAATAGGGGATCAATCACTAGATCTGGATATAGACGCTGCTCTTCAAACACGACATATACCTCTATTCCCTCCACTCACCCCCCGTCTGGGTCCCAATCCTCTGGTACCTCACACGACCACCATTCGATCGTGACTACATCCATATCGAATACATCTACTTCTGCGTCTCATTATCAGCCTCAGGACAAGTCTGTGTCTCGCCCAAATGGTCATGGCATGTCGGAGCCCCAGGCTACTCTTGATGCTGATCAGGATCAGAATAGACAGGTGCAAGAACTCCTCGTGCCGAATGATGGGGACCCGGACTCATCCTTTGGCGAAGTCGACTTCAACTTCGATGAAGACCTGTTCCAGCAGGTTGTGAGTAAATATGACTGACTGAAAGCACAACCGATTTGTGCTGTACCTTGTCTGGAGCATATTAGTGGTGGAATCCTACTGGCAGATCTGTAATATCAACGCTTGAGCATCTGCTATGGTACTCTAGTGAGGAGAAACATCTCTGTTCCGGTGCTATATCGTTGTCGCGTGCTCATGCCCCGACATTTTCTTGCCGCCACCTTCGTCTGGCATTTCATTCAACCCTACATGCGACACTCCCTACATACCTCTTAGGAATCCTACCTACTTCCTAGCAGTCGCACGTCTCTCAGAGTGTGGAGACATTGTCACTCATTCAATCGTCTCATTTTATGTTTGTCTTTCTTTCAGAGGCTGTCATAACCTCAAGCTAAACTCCCGCTAATACCACGCTAAATATCTTATCTTATCTCAAGTATATAGTTATTCCTGTATACGCGTTGCCATAAAAAGCATTCGTGTCTACGTAAATTTTACACCCTTACCCAGCTGTTTTTCTAACAAATTTGCCCAGGAATATCAACTTTCTTGTGTCTCCTGTGTTGTTTGAAGATAGATATTTTTCAACCACACAGGAGTTCTGGGTGTATGGGGCTGTATGGAGACTCGCTGGTGCCAGCTGCTCCAACAGTCTGTTATATTGCTGATGGCTGCACTTCTTTTGCCGTCCAGTAATACATCGCACCATTCTAGTCACCAAGACTTTTTTCAAGAGTAAGGACTATTTGGATGATATTCCAAATGATAATATTATAAGATAGGAGCACCTGAGTGAACAGGCTTTTCGCTTAGATGATCTCGAGAGGAGGGTGGAGTATGCTAAGCTGCTCAAAATCGCGAAACAGGACGGTCTTCGTCAGTTCGAGTCAATGTTTAGCAAAATTCAAGTTATAAACCTTTACACAAATTGCGGGATTCAATCTATTTTGTATATACATATTATGAGTAAATTAGCTATATATACTAAGACTAAACCTATGCATTGAGTCAATTTATCCCCATGGGAGACTCGTGCTCTCGTACTATCCCAATCCACTCAGCCCTCAGCCTCTTAAATTGATCACTCATTAGCTCCTTCTCAGTTAAAGGATCCCAACAAAGTATATCCTCTTCTTCGTCGACGATGTCATCGGGCATACCTAGATGGGACTTGATCATGGTGCTCTTGGATACCAAGATTGAACCATGAGTACCAGGGCGGCAGAGCAATGCCGATGCGCGCTTATTCAATGGCAGAGAGACGGGCTGCGAGAGTGTGTTCGCGTCCATCCAGGCGGAATACAGAGTGTACAGCTGCCCAAGGCCAACGCCATACGGATTTCCATGCGCCTAAGGGAAGACATAGTAAATCTCATGAAGCATGCTGTCATGAAGCAAACCCACATGAGCGACCTGATCTTCTGAATGCAGTAGAACACTGTCCGCCAAATCACACCCAAGTATTTTGGCAATGTCATGATGTACATGAGGGCCATGCACTAGCTGGACCTTGCTTATAGGCTCGTTGGGTGATTGAGGTATGAGTAGCATGTGCATAGGTGGCCGCGGGGATGCAGCCACCTTAGGGTGGGATAGAAACGCAGTGCGAAACGATTCAAGTTGTGCAGTGGTTTCGATTGTGGGTACAGGGATGTCGTACGCCTGGGCGAGGGCTG